CATTAGAAGTTATAAAACGGTGAAGTAATGCCCTCAAAATTTTGAGAAAAAGTTATTTCCAATCTTAAATTTCTACAACCCAAGAATTAGAAATTCTGGAGGTTATACTCTATGAAAACAAAAGATCTCACACACACACACACACACACACACACACACACACACACACACACACACACACAAAGAGGAAAAAATTGGGATCTGAAAAATTGGGAGAGGAGAATGACAGCAGTGCACCAGGCCTAGAAAGCAGCCAGTTCAAACTGGAGAGAAAATTGCTCTCCAAAAAGATTTTCAAAGAAAAAAAAAATCAAACTCTAAATTTCTAATACGTTTATAATAAAAAAAAAAAAAAGGTGCAGTTTTGTAGAGACATGAGGAAAAGCAGCAAGATACACAGAAAACGAAGCAAATCAAGAAAAAAAGAGAAATGATAAATTCCAGGAACAAAAAGTTGGACAAGGAAATAATATGTCAGTCAAATCATTATGCTGTATATCTTTTACAGTGCTGTATGTCACCATATATACTGTATGTCAACTATATCTCAATAAAACCTTTAAAAAAGAAAGGAAATAATCATATATATTACTTGGCTTAACAGTCAACAACACTTTATTATATATAGATACTATAAAGCAAATATGGATTTTTAAATTAACCAAAAATTCTGATATAACAATATTGAGAAAATGAGGGAAAAGAAGAGGGCAGGCATAGTGGCATGGGTGAAAGGGAACATAAAAGGTAAATCCTCATCAACAATAATGATAAAGTTTAAACTGAGAACTCTATAAATGGCAGTAAAAATTGTTATTTAGAAATATGCAAATAAATACTAAATGAGGCAGTCGAAAGTTTGCTTCTAGGAAGTGGGGAAAGACTGGAATGGATAGCTATTTTTCTTTTAGTATTAGTTGGTGTTTTAAAACTGCAAATACTATACTGATAAAAAAAAAATCAATCGTTTTTTAATAAAGTATTACCACACTCTGATAATTTTCAAAAAGGCCACAGCTCAAAACCTAACCATACCTCCTGCAAATTTTGGTCTTCTTGAGTCCAAGAATTTAAAACATGTGCTCCAGAGTCACTCACAATGAAATTCACCTAATAGATTTCAAAGAAATAATTAGTATTCAATTCCAATTCCACCCAATTACATCATATTTAAAATGTAAAGTTTGTTACTAGTTAATAGTAAAAATAATTTAAAATAAAATAATACAGTCTCTAGTATTGATTTGTTGATTGAGTCATTCATTTTATAGGTACAGAATGCCTAGTATGCACTGGGTGCTATTCTTGACACTGGGTATATGGGAATATAGTGACGAATAAAACATTTCTGACACTCACAATGTGGGGAAAGCCAGGAGTGTGCTAAGATAGAGAGCAGTGCAGGGAGAATACAAACAAATAAATGAACAAGATAATTTCAGAGAGTGATAAATGTGAAGATAGAGAAGTTGGTTAGCTAATTAAGGTTGGCTAGACAAAGAAGGACTCTCTGTAGAAGTGGCAATTGAGGGGAATTCAAAATGACCAAAAGAAACCAGCCACAGAATGAGCTGGGGGTAGAGAATTCCTGGTACAGTGAATAGCAAACGCAGAGGCCTCTAAGTGGGTACCTTCAAACAAGTGAAGGTTAGAGCAGGCAGAAGGGCAGGAGATAAGCTCAGAAAAGTAGGCAGTAGCCATATCACCTAGGGTACTGAACACTAAAATAATGGATATGGACTTTATTCTAAATTTTAAAGTAAAATGAAAACAACAAAAAAATACTATCAAGTAAGATGACAATGACAGTAAGGATATATTAGAAATATATCAAATGATGACTATGTTCCCTTTTTGGAGAAGTGTGATATTTCTTTCCACTGAACTATATAAAATAATCCATTATCTTTCCTAATAATATGAAATACTAGTTTTGCTTCCCCAATAAGTTTGATAAGTAGCCTTCTATCACAGGCTTATATGACAGGGACATATTTTACTAGTCACTTTACTTACGTTATCTCATTAAAATCTTACAACAATTGTAGGAAGTAAGTGTTACGCTTCCGTGGGAGGAAACTGAGGCTTGGAGAGATTAAGTAATATGATTGAGGTCACTCTGCTAATAGCTAATAATGCCAGGATCTGAGCCAAAGCCTGTGTCATAAATCGCTACATTATCTATTTTTTTACCCTATATAATGCACAATTTGCAGAGGAACTAAAACTTACATTTTAATTTGGAATATATATGAATGTATATTATACTATTAGACTCTATGTTCAGCGTTACTGTTATCGCCCTGTCTGTGCCAGTCTAAGAATTGATTAGGTCGCAGCCTAGGACGCTCCAAAATGAGACAGAAAGCAAATCACCCACTTATGGCTAACCAAATGACTTTCCCAAAATAAAACAGTTGAGATTCTGAAACCCGAAGATAATTTTTATACTTGAAAATTTCTATCAATACGCAACTTTGCTTATTATTAGTAAAAACAATTTCCACTTAGCATTCTTAAGAGCATTTCTCTAATATGGCCAAATCCTGCAACAGTTTAGCACATAGTCATGAGGACTATGTATTAGCAGCCAGCCTTAGGTTCAAATTCTGGTTCTGCCTCTAACTATCTACGTGACTCAGCTTAAGTTTCTTTTTAACCTCAGTTTCTGCATCTCCAACACGGCAGTAATAAACAAGGCGGATATTCAGATGGTACATAACAGCAGAGTCAAACAAATTGCTTATAGCCAACATCTCCCTTCTGCTTAGGCTGGCAACAATCAATGGTCAGTGCCTGTTCCATTCTGGTTATTATATACTTTAAATATTATCCCAGTAATTATAGTAGCTACCTCATAGGATTTTTGTGAGAATTAGAGGAGTTAATACATATGAAGCACTTTGGAACATGCTTGGCACATGTTAAGTGCTCTATAATTATTAGCTGTTATTGTTGGTCCCAATTAAATACACATAACATTTAATCCCAAAGGAGAGTTCTACATATCACATTTTTAAAGTTAGTAAACAAACAGTTCTAAGTCCAATCTACAGCAAATTCATATATATAATGTAATAGGCAGTTAAGTACATCTCCAAAATCATGATTTGCTCATACTTCACACTCACCAGCTTTTTGAAAGGAAATATATCATACATTATTCTACAATATTCCATAGAAGATTCTACTGAGCAAGTCCACAATGATTTAGAAATGGGGGCCAAAGGGATAATTCCTTGAGTCCTATTCTTCACCAGCATATCAAACTCGACATGCTGTCTGCATGATTCTGCCATGTAAGGGCAATGATCCACAACAAATACTGTTTTATGAGATTCAGAAAAAATCTTCATTTTCTTTTAACCTGTAAGGGATAAAATATATTAGCCAAATGGCTTATACATAACACTATTTTAAATTATTCCTAATTAATATGTCTTTTTTTCAAGATTTGATAGGGAACATGAATAATCAGCACCCAAAGAAATTCATCCAATAAAGGACAAGATTTAATGAGGTCATGATCAGAAAGTAACTACCAATTCAAGGGCTGAGCTACACCATATTAAGCTGTCACTCTATCAGTCACAGGCAAAATTACAGTCTACATATATTTTTTTGCTTTTTGAACTTAAAATAGTCATAAGAAAATATTTTTACAAATTGTACTTGATTCCTTTACATAATACCAAACATAAATGACAAATACTCTTCAAATATACTTTCGATAATCCTTGCTAGTTGATATCAATCACATATAAATCTTCAGACCAAAGTCACCAGTTTTGAGCTTCCCTCCAAAAAGTCTCAAGACTTCTGAAAAAGGGGTTCGGGGGAGAATTAACAGGAAAGAGGAGTGACAGCAAAAGGAAAGACCAAAGCATAACAGACATCTCCGAATATAACTATATTGGGTCTTCGTATTAGGACAAGGAGCCCAAATTCACACTTTCCTCCTTAGCTTTTGAAACATCACAGTAATTTATCATGTAGAACAGAAACTTAGTTGCTACTATCACATTGGTGGGGAGCAGAAACTTTTAAAACTTCTTGTAACAACTCTCGCTAATAAAATAGACTGAATAGACAAACCACATTCAAAAAGCACATGGTAAGCAGAGCAAGTGTTCATCAAAACGAACTGACTTTTTACGATCCAGCTATTTTCTTCTCTTGCTTTCAAAAGCATTTCCCCTTCATGCAGAACTTTTCTTTGAAAAATCTAACTAAACACACTCTGTTGGAGGGTGCGAGGGTGGAAAGTACAAGGTGAGTGGATAAGGAAGACCTCAGGATTGAGGTTAGCTTACTTTCGTGCCTGGTCCTGCAGTGAAAACGAACAGAGGCTATGGACCACAGCCTCTCTGGCAAAGGCTGCTGGCTGGGTGGGGAGGGTCAGCGCACAGTCAGGAGTGTCTGGTACCAAAGACAGGGTACTATGATTTCCCCGCTCATCTCCTAGTACACCGATTCTTCCCAAGCTTCCTAAATGCAGGAGCGCGCGCGTGCGCGCGAACACACACACTCACACACTGGGACTCGCGCGTGCTCAAAGCACTCTTCGACAGCCCCGCCAAGCCGCCCTTCCCCCTCGGTGGGCCAGACGCCCAGGTTGCTGAAGAGGAAGAGGGCGGAGCCAAGGGAAAAATAATACCTCCGACCCTTAAGATTTTCTACCCGCTAATTTTCCCAATGACTCATTGGGAAGTTTGTTCTGGGCGACCTGAAAGCCTCCCCAACAGCGAAGTACCAACCACGGCACCGGCTAAACCAGCTACGGCCCCTTAAGCATAAGGCCCTCCCACCCGGCCTCCCCTTCTGGGTCTCTTCACCCCTGCCGGTTTCCCTGACAAAACTCGCGAGACTTTGTGAGAGGCCAAGCAAAAACCTATGAGTAGATTAATGGGGAGGGACTTACGATGGACACGCCCTCACCTCACGCGCATGTCAGCGAGAAGCTGCAATAAATCTCTCGCCCTGCCCCACAACAGTGACGCAAGGAAGGAAATCTCGCGAGGTTGTGGTACTGTGGCAGCCCTTGCCGGAGGCGGTTGGCGGAGGTTTACCCCGAGCCAGTGATGGGTATGAGCCCCGCTTATCCCCTAGCCGTTCCCCGACTGTCGCTATCCGGTTCTGCGTCTGCTTGCTGAAGAAACTGAACAGGCGAGAGGAGTCTCTTCCCTTGGGTGAATAGGTCCCCTGTTGGCAGAGGCTTTGAGCCCTAGTCGCCACAGCTGACGGCTGCGAGGGATTGAAACCAGAGTAAGTGGAATAAACCCAGTGTCGAGAACAGACGTAGGGAGCCGAAAGCTTCCTTCCCCTGGGCCGCTCTAATGCTTTGCACCAGTTGAACTACTGGCCGCCCGATCCTGGTCGTTTTCCCCTGCTGGTTGCCGGCTCCTGGGAGTGGTACTTCCCCTCCCCGGCCTCTGCTCTGAGCTCGTCTTTCCGGGACTGAGGTGTGGAAAGTTTAAGGAAAAGCCTTGCCCCTAATTCTGTGGACACACCTTCCCTATCTGTTTTCTTCCTGCCTAACCCACCTGTGAGCTCAACATTGAGGGGAGGGAAGAGGGGCCCTTTTCGGGTCTCAGTTTACCTCTTTACAGCATATAACATGGATAACTATTCCCTTTTTCTTGAAACTGCCCTTCAGAGAATATTACTCTTTTCTATGTTTTCTTCTTGCTTTTCTTCTGTATCCCATTTTTGATAATGGTACCAGTGTACATTCTGCTGTCCAGACTAGAAACCTTCGTCTTTGATTCTGCATTTCCACTCGCACAGCAGTATATTATTTATTCTTTCGCCAGAATTCTTACATTTGCCCTCCTTCAACTAAGTTTTCCCACCATTATCCTTCCTATACAGTTATCATTCTGAAATACACATCTGTTTATTATCACTCCTTTCCTTAAACATTTCGATAACTGTATTGCTGACAGAATTATCTTCTCATGGTTAACCATTATCATTCATGACCTTTTCCTATCTGTCCCAATCCATTTTACCTTGTTAGTCTCATCTTGCTTCTCCAAATACCTTATTACCCAACCATATCAGGCTGTTTCTCCAAACATGTCGTGCACTTTCACAGCTCTGTGCCTTTGTATGTGCTGTGCCATATGTCCAGAGTGCTTACTCTTCCTTTTTTATTTATTTATTTTTTTACCACCTGTCAAAACCCAATTCGTAGATCATTGTCACCTGAAACTCCCCCAGTTGACGTTGGTAAAACCACTGTGCTCTCAAAGCACTTGAAACAGTTCTGCAGTATTTATCAGGTTTAGGTTATAATATTTGTTCATGTATCTGTCTTGTGCTAGTTTAAGCTTGAGTCTGGAATGATGTCTTATTCATCTTTGTAACAAAAGCTTGTCCAATGTTTGGCACATAGCAGACATTTACATATATGTGTATAAATATAATGTAATAATTCTAAAGATTCACCATAGAAGTTCTGAGTGCCCTTAAGAGCACAGAATTTTTTACAGGCAGAAGGAACCTGTATTAAGTGGACACTGACCTGTTTCGAATATGAAAAACCCTGTACCTCTTAACACACAGTAATTATAGTGTTAGTATTTGTTGATTGAAATTATGCATAATGGTGAAAAAAAACTGCTTTTAAATGATTTTGTATTTTATCATACTAGTATGTGTCTATTTGGAAAATAATGGAATATATGTGTAAGAGAAATGTTTTAGACTGTAGGCCATCCTTGATGTATGTACATCTATACAACTCTTCCAGTGACTCCTTGGCCCATAGGTTAGGAATAATTGATTTAGATTTGAATTGTCATATTTGTTTGAACATCTATGTATATGCAATGTATATTTAGCTACAATTCTAAGGTAATGTATGTAATTTAGAAAAAATTTCTGTGTCCTTTCAGATTCTGTTCCTTCCAACTTTAAAAACTCATCTGCATCATAAAGCTGCTTCATATACTTGAAACGTGTTCATTCCATCATTTGCAGGGCCTGAAAAATGTTCTGTGCTTTCAAATGCAGTGATATGTCTCAAGATGCTTATTTTTATATGTAGTTTGCATGCATTCTTTCTTGATCTCCATAGATATGTCTTATATAAGTTTATAAGAAAGCCATACTATGCCATTTTATTTTTCTGTTTACATATGTGTCTGTTAATGTTATCTACTTATTAACATTAGAAGTACCTACCTGAACAATCCAATAAAAATTTTTAACTAAACTAGATTGTTGACATTTGAAGTCACTTCAGTGGCATATCAGTAGCCACAATATTTCTGTAGATCCAGCTATAGAATGGTTGGATTTGTGCATAAAAGAGAAGGAAGAGTGGCTTGAATTTCTTTAAAATTTTCTTAGCCAAATTTAAAACTAAACAACTGTCAGTTGCTGTCATGGGTGGGTGGTGTTTTCTCTTTTATCAGCAGCAGAATGTTCTGAACCGTGTGCCAGGAGTCTGACTATGAATGCCTTTGGGTGGTAAAGTGGGCGGGTAACTAATGTAACTAATGCAAAAGGAAAAACCCTGCTTTAGAAAAATTTCACCTGTAATTTGAGCCTACCTATAGAAGATAATGTAAGCAAGTACACTATGACTAGTAAGATAAGCACTATAAAAATAGATAAAATGAGAATATTTCTTTTTTTTTATGGGAGTCTCTTTTTTAAAATTTAAAGCTTGTGAGAGAGTTTGGAAAACAACTTTCCTCCCACTCCACTTACCAACCAAAAAAGAAGGAAAGCAGAATATTTTTCATAAAAGGTGGCAAAGTAAATGCACATTATAAAATATTTTGAACTTTTCTGTGGTTTTACATACAGGAAATGAACATGCAGATTCTTAGAAACGCTGTGTCACTGTTTTTCTGAAGTGCTAATAAAATTATGCTTTGAATTACCTGATGTTTATAATTTATTTCTCTGAATAGCTATATTTTTATAGTTACAAAATAAATTTTAAATTTGTTTTTTTATAGTAGTTTATATAGTTTATTTTTATAGTAGTATTTCATTATGCAATCTAGTGAATGTTATTTTAAATGGATATTAATTGTAATTTCAAAAAGCATGTTAGTAAACAGTTATTGGTCTTATACTATAATGCCAGTTAAAATGGATGCTGGTTTTTTATTAGTTATAAGGGAAAATATTTGAAATTTTATTGTTTTTATTCATTTTCATTTATACTCCCACTTATTTTCTCTTTCTGGCTTGAAATGCAATTTTTATACTATCTTGGAAGTCTCATTAATGGGGTAGGGTCAGGGAAATTTGCTGTTTTTCCAGTGAGGGAAACCAAGATAATTTTATTTTATTTTATTTTTTTCCAAAATAATTTTAATGTAGGTAAAAGCAAACAGGGCCCTGAGGTTCCACCTTGGCTCCTGAGTAGAGCACTAGACTGGGAATCAGAAATTCTTTTTATCTGGCTTGGCTCCTTCCTTGCCATTCAGCTCCTTTCATTTGGAATCTCTGTCTATTTTCTCATTGATAAAATGGAAATAACGCTTGTCATGTTGACCAAAAGACAATATAAGGTAGTAGTTCTAAGGTTCAGAAAGCTACCAAGAATTCAAATTAATTAAAATTATTACCTAGCAGTTTGATTTTATTCTACAGTGCTATAGAGGTCTATTGGATTGAATTAGGTTGGAAAGAAGGCTAAAAATAGGTAAAGCAATTTTGAAGAAGAAAAAGATGACTCGCCGTATCAGTAAGTTTATTTTACAACTATTAACAGTTGAGGCAGCATGGTACTGATATATTGATAGATAAATAGACCCAGATAGACTAGGGAGCTCAGAAATGTACCCATAACATTTATTGAAAACAAACAGGTTTGTCATTAATATTCCATGGGATTATTCCAACCACAAAAAATATAATTGTGTGACATGATAGAGGTGCTAATTATCACTAAGATGGCAATCTTATTACAATATATAAATGTATCAAATCAACATGTTGTACACCTTAAAATTACATAATGTTATATGTCAAGTGTATTTCAATTAAAAAAACTCAGTTGGGGAAGAATGTACTATCCAATAAATGAGACTGGGGCAACTAGTTGCCCCATAATAAAAAAAACTAGATGCCTTCCTTATACCATACATGCAAATGAACACCAGATGCATTAAAGACAAAGGCAAAACCTTGGGGATGGAGTGGTATTGTTTTTTTAAATTTTAAAATTAACATATAGTCTTATTTTAGATTACAGTTCTCATTTTAACATGTATACAGGATCATGTAATCACCACTGCAATCAGGGTGTAGAACTATCCATCATCCCAGAATACTCCCTTGTGCCACACTCTCTTCCCACCCCTAACTCCTGACAGCCACTGATTTCTTATCCATCATTATAGTTTTATCCTTTTGGTAGTGCAGGTCAATGAAAACAGTATGTAACCTTTTGAGACTATCTTCTCTCAGCATAATGCCTTTGAGATTCATCTAAGTTGTTGCCTATATCAGTAGTTTGTTTTATATTGCTGACTCATTCCATTGTATGGATTATATGTACTGCAATTCATTTATCCACTCATTTCTCTGCAGAACATACCCAGAAGTGGTATTGCTGAGTTATATGGTAGCTGTATATTTAACTTTGTAAGAAATTGCCAAACCATTTTCCAAAATACCCAGATCATTTTGCATTCTCACCAGCATTGTATGAGAGTTCCATTTGCTCTGCATCCTTGTCAGCACTCGGTTTGTCATTTTAGCTATTTTAATAGGGCTGTAGTGGATTTCATCATGGTTTCAATTACATTTCTTTAATAGCCAATGATGATGAACATATTTTCATATGCTTATTTGTCATCCATATATCTTTTTGGTTCAGTGTTAAAATCTTTTGCTCATTTGAAAAAATGAATCATTTTTTTTTTTTTTTTAGTTTAGAGAGTTATATATGTCTTCTAGATAAAAAGTCCTTTGTCAGATATTTGCAGATATTTTTCCCAGTCTACAGTTTGTTTTTTGACTGTCTTAACAGTGCTTTTCAAGTTGCTAATTTTAAGGAAAGCCGGCTTATTAAAATTTTCTTTTATGAATCAAACTTTTGGTATCATGTCTAAAAAATCTTTGCCTAACCCCAAGTCACAAAGATTTTCTCTGCTTTTCATTTTACATTTAGATCTGTGGTCCATTTTGAGCAAATTTTTGTATAAAATGTAACAATTATGTCAGTTAATTTTTGGCATGTAGATGTCCTGTCTTCCAACACTATCTGTTAAAAAGACTATTTTCTCAAGTTGTGT